GGGATCGTGGGGCTCTGCACCCTAAGCTGATTTTCTTCCTGTTAGGGGACCCTAAATGGGCCAGAAGTCACCCAAAGAGGTGGCAAAGAAGGAAGGAAGTCCTGTGGACAATGGAGAGACAGCAGTCGACCCAATCGGTCTGGGAGAAGCCTTCCAGAAACCAACAGGAGAAAGGCTAGCCTAACTTCAGAGTCTAGTCCAAGCTATAAGCAACTGAAGTCAAAATGTACTACTTTAAGCTGATTGTAAACAGCGCGTTTGAATCTGGGTAAGAACATTAATTTTCCCTATCCTACTTATCAACTGAAAAAATTATCTCAAGAAGCAAAAAAGCTCATATACTAATGGAAGTGGCGAATTAAACCTTTTATGGAGGACTAAAACATATAGAAATGAAATGAAATGAATATAAAACCTAAATTTGGATAAGTTTAAAATTGCTGAATGGTTAAGATTTTCATTTTAAAGACAACTGTTTATTTTGCAAATTGAAAAATGAACTAGTGCTGACATCTAGTGGTGAATGAAGACTATGACAGCTATGGCTCTCATATAGGACTTGACAAAATCTGGAAAAAACTAATCTGTGTTTCTGACCTTCAAAGCTCTAACAATAGAGAACAGCTGTGACAAAAAAGAAAACAATCTGGGCTATAGACAAAGAGAATTATAAACTTCAGAATTTTTTTTTTGAACTCTTTGGATTACAAATATCTACTTAACTGTGACTCCAAAGATATTTGCAGAGAAAAGAAAAACTTGATTCTTGGCTATCATGGGAAATCAGAGACTTGTAGAAAAAACTTATCAAGAAAAAAAACCAAATAACTTTCAAGAGGAGATATATGATATGCCACAACTAATTCAAACAATGATTTCAAACCACAAAGAAATCCAAAATAACTTTGAAAATATAAACCAATCTATTTCAAATTTAACTTTACAAGAAAAAAATCCCAGAAAACAACAACAGAGAAGGAGCAGATAAAACAGATAACTGAATACAAATTCGAGGATAGAGACTTAAAGATGGAACCTAATAAAACAAAGAAATATGATTTAATGCAAGTGGGAAAAAATTCACAAGAAACATTGGATTTGGAAAAGATAATATACTTTAAGATCACAAAACAAATTTGAGGACAAGAAAAAAGATTGGATAAAATGGACTGCAGAGATGTCAGAAACATCATGAGAACTGGAGAGACAAGAAATGATAAGAGAAACAGAGAGAAAAAGAAAGAAAAAGATTTTCAACAAACATGAAAGGGCAAAAGCCTCCTACAAAGACATTGTACTTGACCTACCTTTTATATCTACAGTAACATCTACAAGAATATGGAAAGATTCTTTGATTCAGCAGAACATATCAATTAAGAAAGATACTGGGCAAAAGAAAAAGACTAAAGTGAAAATTAAGAAAATAGATGATGGGACCTATCAGAGAGAATATTTAAAAAAGAAACACCTGTTTGAATATGGTTAAAGAAATAGAAAGATTTTGGATATGAATTTTATTTTAAGAGAGATAAGCCCCTCAAATAACATAGTACTCTCTTTTTCTTTTCTTTTCTTATTTTATTTCTTGATATGAATAATATAAAAAAGTTTATATTATTGTCAGTGACAATAATGGCTTATATAAAGGAAATGTTTTAGATATTTAAATGTGATTGGCTTTAAGAAAACTAAAATGGATAAAAATGTTTTGAATAAGAGTTAAAAGATCAGATGACTAGATTTATTAAATGGAATATTTAAATATTAAACATATTTTTAATCATGGTAAAAAAGAACGGAAAAATTTTGGAAATAAATTAGGTTAGGAGGAACATGTATTTTAAGTAGTACTACCTTTTTATTTTTCTTTACTTTTATTCCTTTTTTTCTTTTTTAGTCTTATTTATCTCTTAAGAAAAGTAAAAGTATTGGGATGGCTTACATGAGAAAAATAGACTTAAATATTTAAATGTAATTAACTTTGAGAAAATCTTAACCAGTAAAAATGTCTTGAACATTGTGGGAAAAATAAATGTAAACAAGAACTGTAAACAGGATCTATGATGAGGCAACCAGAATAACTAGATAAAAAAGAAATATTATATTGATGTGATTATTATCTGTAGAAATATTAGAAAGAATTTTACACTCAATTGTTATCTATCAAAACAACAAGAATTGTATTAACTTAAGGTTGGCAAAAGAGAATATTATGGGAAAGAGAGGAAATCAAGTAAAGCTATTATGTTGATTATAGATCATAGAAACTAATTGTTAATGAATGTTTTTATATGTAAACCCAGACAACACACTGTTTACCAAATATTAAGGTGACCATGTTAAAAATCAATAAAATGTATTATATATAAAAATTAGGAATGGAAGGAGTTCTCATGAGCAGATAGCGATGGCAATACAATGACAAAAAATCCTTTGTAGATGGTGCCATGCTTAAAAAAAATTAATAGCAACTAAAAATAGGAGAGATATCGCATTCCTAAGAGCATTATTCCTTTTGTATCTCTAACAGTGGAGGAAGACTTAGTAAAAGTAAAATCCAGTATATATTTATCCATAGCAATCTTTAAAAAGAAGCTCTGTGGGGCATAGATTTGAATAATTGTGATGTTGAATTCTATGCTCATGATTTGTTCACTGACAGTTGAGAAGCTTTCCACTGTTCTAGCAATTTTCTTGCTTACAATAAACACCACTCTACTTGTTTTGCTGGTATCATGTCCTGAATAATAGATGGTGAAATCCTCAAATTGGAAAAAGCCATTGTCCAACCAGTGTAGCTCAGTGACACCACGAAGATTAATTTTCAACCTGATCATCTCACATTTGACAATATTTAATTTACCCTGACTCATTCCTCTGACATTCGATGTGGCTGTCCAATGTATATCTATGCAACACAGACATTTGCTTACTCCACTGGCTGCCTCAGCAAATGGGATTCCTATTGTCATATTGTTGGTCCTTATTTGACATATTTGAGACCCTTCCCATAGAATTTTCTTGCTGAGGTTATTGCAGAATAGGTCTTTTTCCAACCCTGTGTCTGTCTCATTATATTAGCTATAAACCTTATCTAGCTAAAAGGCTTAACCTCTGGCTGACTATAGTGCTCTTTCCTTAATTATCTTAGAAGGAATATATAAGAATAACTCCTTCCTAGGACATGTGTGCCCCTGAAATGTTGATCAAACTGAAATTGCAAGGAATGTTCTTTTTTTGCTATTCATGTTACATACACATCTGCAGTATTATTATTCTACTACAGAAAGTCAGCTTACCAAGCCATACAGATCAATTTTATATCCACTTACTAATATATAACTCCAGGCAAAATCTTCTGGGAACTGATTGCCAGCTAGAGTCAATCAGGCTTAATATGGTTCATGTCTATTAATATTGTTACCATAATTTCAAGTTGTGTACTTGTGCAGTTTTGGTTACTATATAGTTTTTTAAGAAAACAGAATACATAATACAGATTTATATATTTTACCTCTCCATGTTTTAATTCTATATTTATTATCCTTCCAATTTTTAGATATAGATTCTTTTACATTATCATTGTTAATTTATTTTCTTTCTTTTTTTTTGAAAAGTTTTATTAATTTTATGGGGTTAAGGGTAAAATGGAGTCAGGGTTGGGATTGGGGTCTGGTTAAAATCATTAACTTACTTTAAGTTCGTAGTGTAGAGACGTTTTCAGATTTGCAACTAGTCAGAAACTTCTAACAAAACCATCCTTCCAAATGTGTCAGAAATACAGTTCCCAGAATTCTCAGCCATCATAGTCTTTGGCTAATTTGGATATGAATTTTGGAAACTGTAATTTCAAAATAACTGAATGGTATCAGGTTAGAAAAGCATTTTTAATTTCAAGACTATAGTCTGGGCTTGAATCCAAAAAGAGGAAATTAGAAACCCATCTAGAAGGCTTTTCAGACATCCCTTCTTGACTATTGTTTCTAAAATATAGTGGTAATATTAATTCACAATAGGTAATATATTTAGAAAACAGTATTCATCATTATCATCATCAAAATGAATATGAAATAAAGCTAATAAATAGGAATTCTGAATTCAATTGGAACTTCACTTACTCTGTTGATTGTATATTTGGTAAATGATAATAACAATTATGTATTCCTAATATACCGTGGAGCCGGCAGAAACTGAGGTAAATCCAGAGGTCTGTTTCTGATGATGGGACTGCTTCTCTGCACCCTAAGACTCTTCAAAATATGTTCAAAGCAAAGAGGAATGGGAAGATTTTCAAGATATCAAAAAAGGAATAAAAATTGAACTGTGTGACCACTTTTTGTCTGTTTTACATTATTTATACACACCCATTCTATGAAAGCTATTCTAATGTATAAAAATATAACCTAGGATTTCATATACATTTTGAATTAAAATAAAGCAGTATCTTTTGTGAAAGTGATTTGAAATATAAGGCTATAGGAGTGCCAAACCCTGCTTTAACTATGATTGTGGACAGAGTTTCTCTACTTAAAGGACTGTCCAATCCAAATATGGTTTCAAAGTAAAGAAGTATGAGAAGAAAATCATATGGTCAGAGAGATTGCAGAGGCATAAGTCACTGGAAAAATATCTGATTCATAACCAGCCCTCTGTTAGGACATGCTCCTAGAATCACCACTACTTTTATAGAATCTAGAAAACCAAAGTGACCAGTTTTTCTTACAACTTACCAAATATAGTTTTATTTTGATGAGACCTACAGTAATATTCTTATCCTCATCTTACCTCAAAAATAATTACTGTAAAACAGGGGTAGTCAACCTTGGCTCTTTTATGACTCGTGGACTTCAACTCCCAGAATTCCTGAGCCAGCTAAGCTGGCTCAGGAATTCTGGGAATTGAAGTCCACGAGTCATAAAAGAGCCAAGGTTGACTACCCCTGCTGTAAAATGTTAAGGGGCAGCCAATTTTGCACCTACATATATTTCAGAGATACTCACTAGTGCAAATTCCTTGTTCAGAACCATCTGCTCCACTAGCGATGACTCATTATGGAACAGATGAGGTTGCATGTGGCTCCACATGTGAGGAAACCACCAGAATTCATCTACAGACCCCAACAATAAATCATCTCCTTCATCTTCTTCAACGGTTCCTAAGAGATGAAAGGCAAATGTTACATTGTAAAAGATGTGACGATACAATTTATTTTCAGATCAGTGAGGGCATAAAATACATGGAGTCTTCATATAAAATTTAAAGGCAATATCGAAGAATTATTATTACCAAAACGTATTCATGCAGGAAGTAATGTGCTTATCACATATTTCTTCAACAGGTTTGGAATACCTGCATATAATGCATTAAAACACCAGGAATTCTAGCAACATTTTTTTTTGGCTTGAATGCTTTGCATTCAACGCTATGTTAAAACCAAATATAAGGTCCTGCCTAACAGGAAACATGCATCGCTAGAATCTATATGCATGTTTGAGATAGGGCTGCAATCAGATGAAAAGAATGCTTTCTTTGTGCGATGCCTACCATCTGAATTCTGCTGGGTGGGTATGCATAAAAAGGCCTTTTGCACAGTCTAATCCAGGGGTAGGCAACCTTGGCTCTTTTATGACTCGTGGACTTCAACTCCCAGAATTCCTGAGCCAGCATGGCTCAGCTTGGAAACCTCTCCCTTTCCCCTCAGCATGGCTGGCTCAGGAATTCTGGGAGTTGAAGTCCACGAGTCATAAAAGAGCCAAGGTTGACTATCCTGGTCTAATCTGTCAAATTCCCCATCCCTCCAAGTTCATTTCATTTTCCATTCTCTCTCTGTTAAGATCACGTGTAGTGAAAAGGCTAAAACAATAATATTTATATCTTAAAAATTATTACAACATTTAAAATTACACATGAAGTGCTTTGAGTATCTAAAGCCACAAAATGACTGCCACTGTTATTAATAGTAGTATCTGCTTCATCTCTCAGTTATTTCTATACAAATCTTATTCTACCTTTGCCTTATTTTGTGTACTCTCTTTTTATTGTCTATACGGATTGGACTGTGACGTAGGTTGACTTGGGCAAATCCATATTCCATTGCCAGTACTAGTCACTAGTCACTTCTTGAATGCCAGGACTTGCACTTCACGGTTTTATATGCGGTAAGAAATTTGTTAGCTGAATTTGATGCTCTGTAGTTTCCAAGAAAATTCTCAACGATATCCTTGAATGCTTTCCAGGCAATTTTCTCTGGCCCCACTAACAGATCTTCGAACCGCTTGTCATTGATGATGTATCTGATCTGTGGATCAACAAAAATGTCTTCCTTAATTTTGGTATCAGATATTCTTGGAAACATCTGTCTCAAATACTGAAAACCTTTACCTTCCTTGTTTATTACTTTTACAAAAATTTTCATCAGTCCATGTTTTATGTGAAGCAAAAGCAAAAATACCTTGGTCAGACCAACAAGTGGTTTGTGTACCATATGCTTCTGTCCAGGAAGTAAATTCTTTCAGAGTGGCCATTTCTTTTTAATATAATAAACTTGTCTTGCATGGTTGTCCCATTGGTATACAGTAACAACAGTACTTGGTATATCCAAGCTGCATTTCAGCAGCAGAGCCATTGCTTTTAGATCTCCACAGATATCCTAGTTGTACTTGGTGTACCAGGTGTGCTTCAACAACAGTTCCATGTTTTCTTTCATATGTTTATTTCATGTGTGCAACATAACCAACAGGTATGAATGGTGTACATTGCCAAAACAAAAGCTTTCTATAAAAGAGTACACGATAAGTTAAATTACAGGTTACTTTCATGATTAGCAGCCAAAAATTCACAAAATACACCTAAAAGTGTATTTATAAAACTTTACTTTATTATTCATAACAATGTGTAGTCACAGCTACCAGTTCTTTAGCTGATCTTGAGCTTCATATGCATCAAGTTCTTCCTAAGAACCTAGGATTCATAATGTATCAGCAGAGTTTAGTGCAGCCTTTGGTAATTGACAGATGGAACTTTTGTCAATGTGCAGTTTTTCTAAGTATGGCACCCAATGTACCACTAGGACCACCAGTAGAACCACCGATTTATGCCATAACATTTCAATTTCAATTTTCGAATTCTGATACTTTGTGATCTTTTCCAATTCTTTGTCTTCTATCCTGGGTATTGCCACGTCAATTACTCACATGCTTTTCTTTTCTACCACAGTTATATTTGGCATGTTATGAGTCAAGACTTTATCAGTCTATATTCAGAAATCCTACAATATTTTACCCTGCTCATTTTTTACTACTTTTTCTAACTGAATATTCCCACAATTTTTCATTACCGGTACATGATAATTTTTACAGGTGATTCAATGAATCATTTTGGTCACTGTGTTATATCGTTGTTTGTACAATTAATTTGTTCAATCTTCTTGCATGAGCCGAGTGTAAGAAATTACTGTATCTTCTGTCTCTTTGCACAGTCTGCACTTTAAATTTATTTTTAAATTTAAATTAAAGAAGTAAACATTAATGATTTGATGAATTTTCAATTGTGGTCTTGATTGCATTAATTCCAATAGCTTGCTCTTGGCCTCTCAAAATCAAGGTTTCTTTTTTAATGTTCTAGTTGCAATCCAGGTTTAGTCTTTATCCACTTTATCCTCGATCATTTGTAGAAATTGACTACGCAATACTTTTCCTTGCCATTTTTATTACATTATTTTGATATTCACTTTATCAGTTATCAGATATTTTTGTTTTTCAGTTCAAACTGTCCAGTTCAGTTTATGTTCAGTTAATAATTCTAACAGTATATTGTATCATAGGTATGGCCCAGGTATTGATAGCTTTGAAGATGTTTCAACCGTTCAATTTTGTCCTTAGCAATTTTCTCACTCTTTGAATGTATTCTTTACTAATCACCTTTTTAATTTGTCCATTCTTTTTGTTATCCAACAATAAACTGCCCAGATACTTGTAGGCTTCACCTCGATGGCTCTTGAAGTTTGGTCATTTGGCATTCGACATTACTGTGTGTGATTTATTTATTGATTGATTGCTACTGTAACACATTTTTTTTAGGTCAAACTTCATATCATCCATAGAAAGCAAATGAGACATATTATTAGCATTTTTTGCTGCTTGATAGCCAAGAATATTTTTTTCAAAATAACTGAAAGTGTGATAATAGCAATGACAAATAATAAGGGTGACAATGAATAACCCTGGAGGATTTTATTATGGTTTGTTATACAGTTCAGACTGGATTTGGCATTTTTTGTCCTTCCCAAGGATCTGGGATAGTCAGATGTGGATGTTTGATGCTGTTACAGATATCGTTATAGGATGTAATGTTTTCTGAATAAAGCAAAAGTCCATCTAATCCACTCTTGTGCCCATCATAGTGATAAAACAGATGCCTTGGAAGCTCTCTCATGAGAACAACTATTCTTTCTTATTATTGTCTATTAATTACAGTTTAATGAAATTATTACTCTGAACAACAAAAGTCACGAGAATTAGACAGAGAGGTATTCCCCAAAGTATTCTGCCCACAAGCAGAATACAAATCACCATCTCTTCAAACAGAACCTTCCAGATTTAGTCCTGCAGAATCATGTCAATGGTTTATTTAGGAGCAAAAGAAGGAATAGTTGATGATCTATAATAAGTCTCCAAAGACTGTTTTTTTTTCCTGCTGGAGATATAATTGAGATTGGTTGTTTGATCATTCCTGCTCTGAACATGATATTATAATGGTATCAAAGTAAAGTAGAATGCAATCATGTTACAATATTCCTGGATCCCATCTTAACCTATAAATTTCTGGCAGATCCACAATCTTATTTTCTTTTTGAAATTCTATATTCAACGTGTGTTCAGGAATCAGAATTGTGCATTATGAAGGAAATCAATAAAGCACAGAAGTTTCCATCGGTTGATAAAACTTCTAAAATTTCCAAAAAACTGATAAAACAAAACTTGTTCAACATCTTACCTTAAAAACTTGTTTGGGTAAACAAGCCACATTTATATTAATTAAAGAACACTCCCCATGTTTTATTTATAACTGGACAATAATATATACATTTGTATGGAAAATGATAATGCTGCCTCTAAGTTGAAATGACAAGCAACAATACCAACCTTAAAAGTAGGACTTAAAAAACTACATAGTACAGCAACTGCTTAATGGAAATCACAAACGTATCTCATGGATTTGTACTATTTTGTACTAGAATACATAATCATAAGCATGTTCACCATATTTAAGCCTTAGCAACATTTTACATTCTATATGGATAGTATTCAGACTAATTTCTATTTCCAAATAGAAAAAATGCGACATCATATACATTTTATCAGTATATTCCTATAGGAGATTAGAATGGACTGGAATAACTAAAACTAATAATATAATCATATCAAAAAGTTGAAAGTTGATGTCAGCATGAGCAAAACCTTTAGTAGGAATGTGGAACACAATTTTAAAATATGTTTGCTCAATAATTTAAAAGTTGTGTGAATTGTTTAAATGTGGACGTCCTTGAAGAAGTTGGGAAAAAGATCTTCTATTACTTACGATAGGCTATTATATTATCCTCAGAGTGATATATTCATGAATGAGAACTTATTTGCACTTGGCCACCATTTCTGGAGGACAGAAATAGATGCTGTTGCTCTCTATTAATCTCTCAGTCCCTGAATACACCCTAAAGGTTCATTTTTCTGCTCTATCTCTGAAGTATGTTTCTCCATATTATGTTGCTCTGAGGCTAGTTTCTATTTTGAATTGTATGCATTTGTATTTGAATTGTATTGAATTGTATTCATTTAATTTCATCGAACTGTTGTTTAAATTTTAAAACTTTCCTTTACTACTAAACCTTGTGCTTCTAACAATGGAAAAATATATTTTAAGGTGCCTAGAGAAATCAATGGATAGAGAGTGAAATGCACTGAAAAAAGGCCTTTCACTTAAATACTTCTATGTGATAATATAAGATAAAGGAAAAAGATTAGAAAGAGTAGAAGAAAGAGAGTAGAAAGGATTTTGAAAGTTGAAGTTCATTTCAGCAGCTAATATATTTCCTTTGAGTTCGTTCCTTCTTCATTACCTTAATGCAGGGGTCTGCAACCTTGACAATTTTAAGACTTGTGGACTTCAGCTCCCAGAATTCCTCAGCCAGCTATGGGAGCTGAAGTCCACAATTCTGGGAGCTGAAGTCCACAAGTCTTAAAGTTGTCAGGGTTGCAGAACCCTGCATTAAGGTGACAACGTGGATAGCAAAAAAATAATGTGAAGAGCATCTATTATACTTTTATCTTAAATATAGTAATGAAGTACAGAAGTAAAGCTAATACAAATAATTTAGAAACTAAGGCTTAATTCAGCCCTCTCTTATTCCTGAAAAAGCACTATATAACAAACTAGGAAGTTATATTATATATAGCCAACCATTACAGAGGCTAATCACACAGTTGGGAACTCAAGGCAATGCTCAAAGGCATTTTTTGTTGACTAATTCACATTGCTTTTTAAAGATTAGTAGCCATCCTCCTTCATATCCTCAAGAAGCTATGCGTATTTTTAGTAAGCCCCAATTATGACAAAAGGAGCAATAAGGTGCTATTCCTGCTTGGATCTTTATTTTATTATTTGTCACTGTGTGGGCGTGTGTTTGTGTGAATGTTTCTCTCTCTGTGCGTTTTAATACAGGTTTATTGTCTCACATATGCTGTCCTAAAAATAAAATTTAGTTGGCTTTCAAGCAGACAACACATACGTATACTTGCTTCTATAATTCAAGGTAAAGACTCTTGTTCCAAATACAATCTATAATTATGGAGGAAAGTAGAGTTACCTTATATTTTCAAATGTCTCTGCAATATGCAGCTCCCACAGGCTGAGTGCAAATAAAATTTAGCACGCTATTATAAACTTCCAAAGGCTATCATACCCAATGAAGTAATGCAGTGTTAAAATGCTACTATGCTAGCTTTTCTTGGTAGCTCATGATGTGAAAACAGTTATGGTTCCATATTATCACCACATGACTAATTGGGTTTGGGCTACATGGCAAATTATTAAGCATATTCCAACCCTGTTCAATTTCTATCTAAATAATAGCAACATCAATTGGTCATCGTTTCACACATACACTGCTCAGATGGACCAAGTCCTGAACTCCTTCTGCTGTCTACTGTCAGCCCCCCAGAGTAGGAAATATTAAAAGGGCAAAATATTATATTTCTTCAAAGGATCTTAAAGAAGCAGAAAAGCATGCCCTGTTTTCTTAATAGCCCCAAGTCTTCCTCCTCCAAGCAGAAACCAGTTCTGTAGAAATGCAGATGTAAACAATCCAGGAAGGTTGGAGGACCCCAGCTAGAAGCTTAGGAAGACAAAGACACCTAAAATCTACATACCCCATCCAAACTCTAAGACAGGACATAATAGGATTAACCCACAGATACCAAGGGGGCACACTCAGACTCAGGTCAAAGTATATGACACAGGAAATACAAAGCCTCAAATAGGAACAGGAAACAACCTCAAGAGCCCCAGAGGGTATAAAAACCCACTCCCTACATGTGCTCTCTCTCTTTTCTTCCAGAGCCATCTTTCTGTCTGGCTCTCCTCTTCAATAAACTACAACCTTCTTTCTAAAGCAGTCGCCATGTTGTTTGTTCCCGGCTTGGACTGAACCACAATGAAGACTTTTCCTTCAATACTACTGTAATGAATTCTAATTTCTTTTTCTTCAACTTAAAGTATGCTGAAAATGCAAAGTATTTGTGCAGTAATGCCAAATGCTAACTAATCTTTTCTATTAATTTTTGAAAAGTAAGCAGGTCAATAATGAAGTTGAGTTGGTGAGAAGCAGACTGGATTTATGCAAACTGCACTGACTGCTGGAAAGCCTTTAATTTTTGCTTACTTTTAAAGCTGCCTTTTAATGAAGAAATATAGTTGGGAAACGGACAGCAAATGAATAAACTTTCAACAGGCATTAAAAAGAAACTGCAGGCAGAGTCAAGAAATACACAAAATTACCTGGAAGCAGGTAACACTAATCTGCAGACTCAGCGGGTGGAGGCAAAATCAATTAATTACTTAGGACTTAAAATGTGAAGTAATCCTCTTTTCATTTAATTTAAACTCCTTTTAAATCACATCTTTTCTCCTCTGGGCCGAACAAATCTTTCCAGGATGCCTCCTTGCTTATGTGACAGTATTTTGGTAAGACTAATTTGTAACCATGTGAAGTCACAGCAGGGTGTGTATCATGCAAATATGACTCTTGTTTAAAAGGTGAGAACTCTCAGATGTCTGCATTTTCTATTTCATTCTATATAACAGAATGAAACAAAGTCAATTATGGCTCCAGTTATACTTTGTCTTATCTTAATATAAATACCTGATGCTCCTGTTTACTCTTTATAAATATTCTGTTAACATTATCTGCTTAAGAAAACGATCAGACTATTTTTCTATTTATTTTTAGCATGCTTTTGAAATAAACCTCCAGTTTCCATCAAATATTTTGGAAAGTTGAAATTCTCAAAATTGAAATATGCACATTAAAAAGAATTACATATTCCAAAGACATCAATAAACATAAATTGATTTAATTAGATAAAGATTCATAGTTGAATTTTCATGAAACAACTGTGTAGATTTTGATATTTGCTAAAGTACTTGCAACATGATGAAACATCTCTTAATATTTTTCATATGTTTTTAAGTGCTACTGTGTGGTTCCTGCTTACCTGTATGGTAAAACTTTCCTGAAAATCCAAGGTTGAAGGTAAAATTTGCAACCTGAGTGCGTAGTAATATTTGAGTTTCCAGTAAAGCCTGAAAAAACATATAGGGGAAAAAAAGGAAACTTATTTAGATTTTAAGAGAATCAGCTATAAAAGATTTTACAAAAAACCCTAACATAACTTTTTTTGGGGCGGTAAAATTGTTCTGAGTGTAAGAATAATGTCAAAAAATGCTATATGCATTTCTATGCATTTTTATAGTGAAGATTAACCACATTCACTATTAAAGTATTTAAAATTATAAATACAATTATAAATATGTTTAGATATGAAACTCTGATCTTTGCAGGTGTTATGGAAACTGACAAAATTCACCACCTGTGCACTGATAAGTAGCCCTCTCCCCACATATGATGGATATAATATCAATTCATAGAAAGGCATCTTTATATATCATTCCAGAAGCCCTTATTTGTACAGCTCCTAATTGATTGGTCTCCATATAAGCTGAGAATTTGATCAAGAATACAAGGAATCCACTAGGATGTTAACTCAACAACCTGAATTTAGACCATTCGAAACAATGGGAATACTTTTGGACCATTCCTGTATACGTGAACAATATAAACCTACTGACTCCTACTTATATTTATATCTAGGATCCGCTCCAAACTTACCAATAAATCTGTTGTCTACAATGATATAATAATACTACTATAATATAATCGCATCTGTTTAAATACAATTCATAACTTAAGGATTTGCAACAGGGTTCTTTCATACTGTAATACACATCAATAATGAAAAACAGCAAGAACCGAAGACCAAAATAGAAACTATGTTAAATAGTAGACAATATGTCACAACACAGTGTGTTGTGTTACACAGTGTGTTGTGTGTGAACTCTGTTATCAATTCATAATGCAAGATGTAAAGTCAAGTAACCAGTCCAAAGTGGGTCAGAAAGATACTTGTTAGGCATGTCAAGTGGTGTGGTCATAACCCCCTTCTACATAGATAAGACAAAGCTGATTGATGTACCTTGAAATCAGATTGCACTCAACAGGTGTAATACTCTAGTGAAATGATTGCCCACACAGAAATATGGGTGTAAAAGCTCAGTGATTTTATAAAGAAAGGAAAGAGAAAAATGCTTTATGTGATTCAGCTCCCATAATGATTCCAATCTTTTTTTAAAAACTTTATTCAGTACTTTATAAGGGGGGTGGGCATAATGGCGTTTTGGAGGAGAGGCAGAACATGGAAAGCACCTTGTTATGGGGTGAGTCCTATAGCCAGATTCATAGTTTCTGCTCAGGCACCATGACTAGCAGATGTGTTGTCCTGCTGGTGAAGGCAGCAAAGGCAGGAGGGCAGAACCAGGAAGGGCAAACTTGGAAGAAACATACTAAATAAAAGCAACACCAATTGGTCATCGTTTCATACATGCATTGCTCAGTTGGACCGAGTCCTGAACTCCTTCTGCTGTCTACTGTGGGAAGACAGCCCCCCCCCCAGAGAAGAAAATATTAAAAGGGCAAAATATTATATTTCCTCAAAGGATCTTAAAGAGGCAGAAAAGCATGCCCAGTTTTTTTAATAGCCCCAAGTCTCCCTCCCCCAAGCAGAAACCAGCTCTGTAGAAATGCAGATGTAAATAATCCAGGAAGGTTGGAGGCCTCACATACTAAATCAGGACAGCAGCATTGTGGATCAGAATAGAGGCAACTGAAGCAGAAATAGGTGTGCAGTTCATGCAATATACACTAGTACATGGGTCCCCAAACCCCAGGCTACGGCCCAATACTGGGCCTTGAGATTTTTGGAACTGGGCCGTGGAAATGGGGGGCAAGTGCACATGTGCACATTCCCATTCATACAAACAGCAGGTGAGTGTGTGCTTGCATGCTCCATTTGTCCGAGTGGCGAGTGTGCATACCCGCCACTTGTGCAAATGGAGCTGAGTGCATGTGCTTGGTCTACAAAGCTGAAAAGGTTGGGGAAGTCTGCACTAGTGCATCATTGCTTTTTGTTAATTCTAACTCAGCAATTAAGACTTTTTAAAATGAATTTCCTTTTAAGTGACATATTGCTTTATTTTTATATGGCTTTATTGCTATTTTATCAAAGTATTGTTTAAAAATTGAAGATTGATTTTATAGTTCTTTTTTGCATATAGCTCTGGCCTCCTTTGGGAGGAAGGGCATTATGAAAATAAAATAATAACAGCAACAATAATAATAGTATGTTAGTAGTAATCACCTTCTGAGAGGAACTGGGGTGAATTCAATAAAATGAATACTATAATTTACCTTAGAAGGTGAAATGAGGTTTATCATATTTTTAATGCACGATGCATGGCTTTATGAACTTTCCTGAATGTTCAGTATGAAGATAATTATTACAAAATATAAAATTATGACCACAGTTATATTTCAACTCTGATAACGTAAGTATTGGTTCACAAGCAAACTGTAACCAGAAATGTTTGCCTTCAAAAAATGCCCAGTTTATTTTTTTATATTCCTCAATATGATCAAATGAGCACTTAAGTTGTTAAAGATCTTTCTAAATTGGTGACCTCATTATATTAATTTTTATTGAATCAATATTATATTTATTGCTTTTTATAAGCATATGCTTCAGCATCCATAGGATAAGACATAGATGTATAGTCTGTCTGTACTCAACAGGGTTTAAGTTTCAACAATATTGTTGTTATTATTTGAGTTGCCTTGACTTTATTCTTCATAATTGCTGCATCTATTAAGCAGGCATGATATTTTTTTCACAATGTTCTTGTTAATTACAACTATTTGCACAATAAAGTTTTTGGAGGCTGGTGCTCTAGGAACATTTCATGGCTAATAGGAAGCAATTTGCTTTCCTTTATTAAGTACATTAAAACTTCATGCCCCAGACATCGTTGACTGTAAACATTTGATTCTGCTCAAATTTAATGCACCAAGGCATTTTGCTCTGCCATATTAGCTTTATTTATATGCTGTGTTCTGGATTGTTAGCTACTAATGAGACTTCAGCTCTCATTGCTTTAAGGCCTGAGCACTAACTTCATTTTAATGAGATCATTATTTGCTGTCTCCAAATGGGAGACAACAAATTTGCCTTTTAATTAAAGGTCAAAACACCTCTAGCTAAGGAGAGTGAAGAGGTTATCAAATCCTTTGAGAAATTCAAGGAACTTTTTTTCCCCTTTTCTTTATATCTGTGCTAAATAGACATAGTTGGCCATAAGTACTTGTATAGCTTTATGATGGATACAGCTGTAAATATGAGCTAAGTGAGAATAATTCTAAATTCTGGAACTATTAATCTCAAGACAGGGTAAAAAGCAAACATCAACCAAAGTAATTAAAGAAACTTTACTCCTAACCTGAAAGTCCATGTGAATAAATATCCAAGTTAAAACAGGATCCCCTTGTTTACATGTGAAAATCCAGTTTAATTTAGCTAAAACTCATATTTCCTATCTGGAAAAAATATAATCAGTAACTGAATTAGTGACAGTCATATGCATAGCTATGATTAAGTGAACACTTTTTCCTCCTGATGTTTGTATACTAATATGTATAAATTAATATATGGACGGTTCTGTATCACAATTATGATAGCTCTATTATGAGGAATTTGTGTTATCCTCCCATTATATTTAATAATAAATATATTGGAAAAGTTATTTAAAAAATTGGCAAACAAGTGGAGAAAGGCATCACTGGTTGTTTCAGACTAGGTGAGGAAAACAATGCAGGTGATTGCTTGGTACAATTTTGCCAAGAAAACAGATTTAGGATCACGAATACATCAAAGAGCATAAGACCCTCTTGTACATTTGGACCTCACTGAATGGACTTCACCATAATCAGATTCTGAAGAAATGGAAACATCAAAATAGTAACTGAAGAGAGAGAGAATGTGTGGAAAAAATCATTTGCCTAGGAAGATAGCTCATAGTGTGAATGCAGCACAAAAATAAAACATTGGATTGCACTGGGTCACACATCAATGATGAACATGAACTGAATATGGAAAAGCAAAGACATCAACCAAATGTAGGTTAATCTGTTCTATTGTGTTCCC